TTCAGTAATAACCTGGGGAATTTTGACACAACACCATCTGCTACATCTGCAAGGATGATAATTATTTTTAGGTGCAGATGTCTTTTTTTATTAGGTCTAGAGTCATCAAGGTCACTCTTTTTTAAAAGTATTTAGTATACAAAACTAGAAGCTATCATTTTGCATTTTGGCCCATAATAAGAGAAATGCTTTTATTACAGCCAGCACTTTAACTCCTTGCATATGTTTCCTGTGTTCTGATATAGATACCCTTTACTTTCAGTTATATTTACTTGTCTTCCCAGTAGGAGTATTCTAGCATTTGAAAACACAGTATTCATTACTGTTCATAACCAGAAAGGCAATGAAGTGGCAACCAGACAGCTCCAAAACTTTGTCTCATGCTTCCTGGGTAGGGAAGCCATATCTGCAATATCTCTGCCACCACCATGGTCTTTGGATCTGTCTTCTATATCTTCATTTTTAGGAGGTGGCTCACTGGGAGGCAGTTTCAGCATCATTAAATCCAAAGGAAAACATTTTTCAGGAAGTGAGGATGGCACATACATTTCTCTCAGTTCTTCTACATCAGGAGCCCAGAACAGCTACTTAATTTTCATAGATTCATAGATTCTTAGGGGCCCTAATGGACCTTGCAGATCATCGGGTCCAGCTCCACACCCCCCAGCAGCAGTTTACCACATCAGTGCATCTTTGCCTCAGTCTGAGAAAACAGATCTCTTAGCAAGACACTGGCCATCACAGGTCCTAGAACAGGGGTGACATGGTGGGCTGGGTGTCTGCTGATAGACATTGTAAATGTAAGTGCTGTTAGATGAGGGTGGACTGGGAAACACAGGGAACCAAGCACACGTGATAACTGGGACCGAACCCCCCAACAGCTCAGTTCATCTTGTGAAACAGTACAAAAGTCGTTGGTTTAAATCTATTCTGGAATGTCAGAAACTTTCAGCATTATGGTACTTTTTGGAAATTCTCAGCCACCACAATGATGAGCACAGCATGAGAGTGCAAATAGGATAGAAAAGCCAAGCAGTCAGAGGGGCAGTGTAGCTGCAGCAAAACCTTTCGAAATCCTTTTGGCTCCCAGTGCAGAATAACTAAGGGGGAGCAATCCTGGTGAACTGTACAGCCCTGTACACTCACCTAACTATGTGCATATGCAGCTAAATAGGTGCACATCTACTGTAGCCCTGTGTGGCTTTGGATGTTTTCTCCTAAGTTCATCCCACTTTCCAATGAAGACTGTACTATCCTAATCAAAAAGATTTAGAAGAGCATAGTCATTTAAGCATCACAATTAGAGAATTCCAGAATAAAGTTGTATGCTGTATGCAGTGTGGAAGAAAGTCTGTTGCTTCACACTTCTGTAGACCAGGAACACAGACAGTAGAACAGGGATGGACAAAATGGCAGATCCAGCCAGTAGCCAGACCCCATTTCCCAGCAGCCCCTGCATGTGTTGTGGGGCCATGACGGCATAGAGACCAGCCCCAGCAGCACTGACAGGGCACATGGCTGGGTGGAAAGCTGCTCCAGGGCCAGGGCTGGGATCTTGCAGCAATAACAGTGTTGTCCAGAGGTGGGACAGAGCCATGATCCACTGCCTGCATGCCACTGCCCAAGGTGTGTGGACAGTAGATTGCAGTCTGCCCTAGCTCCAGACCACACTGTCACCACTGCAAGATCTTGGCCCCAGAGCAGCTCCCCATCCAGCCACGTGCCAGCCCTACTGGGGCCAGGCTCCATGGAAACCCTGGCCCCACGCTGTCACAGCTCTGCTGCTGCTGGGGTCTCCATGCTGGGGTCTGCTGGGGAAACTGGCCACAATGACACAGATAGGGACTGCTGGGAAATGAAGTCTGCTCCAGGCCCAGATCTGGAGCCAGCCTTTGCCCAGCCCTGCCCTAGATGCAGGCTATACAGAATTTGCACAATCTTCCCCTTAGTTAAGAACATCGGGAAACAGATAATCAGTCCCCTTAGTACTACATAGTAGCTGAGACTCCTAAATGCACAGGAGCTGCACAGCTTCTACCAAGTCCCCCCATTAGGCTGTAGCTTAAGATATTCTGCCCCAAAGCACCCTAGTGGTCAGTGTATAGCAAATCAGTTGCCCTATTTGGGTGCCCACAACTAATTCCTGCTTTTAAGTTCAGGGACTACAATTCTACCCCCCAAAATGGTCTGATTTTCCTATGTAGCAAATCCCTAGATAACATACAGCACATGATGCAGGTTATAATCCATCCTTTCCCAACCCCAGGCAGAGGGATATGTGCTTGGGAAGGCACATGGCTAGAGCCACTTGCACTTGCTAGTTCCCTGGTAGGGTCTAGTCCTGTGGGGACTTAACCCACTGGTTATCATTTCAAAGTTTCAGGGCTGCTCTTTGAACTATGCTGGGAGATGAAACAGACTTTGTCCACTCCCAAAATTTGAGAATTGCAAAAAAGGGTAAGAGAAGCTGAGAACTGAGGTGCAGATTTTTAAAAAGGAGGTACCACCTGACACATACAAGTGAATCCATACAGAAAGAGAGAGAGAACCTGGGGAAAGAGAAAAGAACTATAACAAAAGTGAAGGAATAACATTATACATCTAAAATTGAGAATAGAGAAAAGTCAAAAAGGAATAATACAGGTTTTTTTATCCATTTTGAGAAAGGGTAAAATATAACATTGATGACAAGGGGTAGCAAATCAAATCAGTAAATATGAACCCAATAAAAGGCATAAGATGGCAAGTCAAAATAAGATTTGTACCCACTCCAAGTGTGAATTTAGCCAAGAGGGCTCTAATTACCTCTTGGTTCTGCAAAGGTAAGTACAGGCAGTCAAAAAGCCCAAGGCTGAATCGATTTTAACCTTCGTAGGTTGGTCTAAGCTGTATAGATTGAACTGATAAGCAAATGAAAAGATACTCACTTTTAATTGTGAAAATGCAGCCACCTGCCTGCAGTGGTCCAGGCGAGAAGCTGGGGGAGGGAAGGGAGGTTCTAGAGCATACCTCTCTGCTTGGTTGGAGCAGACAGCTTGGGCCAGTGCTAACCCACCCACCCTGCCTGGGCAGAGGGTTGGGGGAGGATGTACAGAGCATTCTGGGATGCTGGAGGACTGTGGGCTAGCTTGAATCTGGAGGGGATCCGGGACAGAAGTGCAATAAACTGATTTAACATAAATCCATTAAGTCTGATACTACAGGAAACCCTCGCTATTCGCAGATTTGCGATTCACGGTTTTGAATATTCGCAGTGCGCTGTGCCAACTCACCCTCTCTCCCCACGCAGCGTGATGACACTTTGTTACTGCACTCTGGTGATACTTTTACATTCAGTAAGCTTGCGAGTGGACTTAGTGCAGCCTCGGTAGGTAGAATGTATGGCATTAACGAGTCCACCGTGCGATATATTACGAAAAAAGTCAGTTTTCACCCCTTATCCCTCCGCTGCCACCGCACTCCCTCCGCTGCCAGCTCAACCGTGCCTCCAGCCTGTTTATCCTAACCTATTATTGGTAGAGTACAGTGTTCACGGATTTCCCCATTTGCAGGGATCTCTAAAACGTATCCCCCACGAATGGTGAGGGTCTCCAGTACATCCATTCAGGTTTATCTTAAACCATTTTTTGCCATTTTGAAAATGGTGTATGTGCACTGTTCTGTTGTATTACAGATTTGAACCAGTTTCCAATCACTTA